TATATATATATATATATATATATATATATATATATGTATGTATGCCTTTTTGTGGCTGTCTGTTGTTGTCACTGTTGTCCATTGTTGTCATCATTCTTTGTTGAAATCAGGTCTCTCTTGTAAATGAGTCCTCGAGGCTCAATGGGATTTCCCTGTCTAAATAAAGGTTGAATGAATAAATAAACTGAAATGAATTGATTAGTGAGCTTGTGGTCCTTCAAAGCCCGTAATGAGAAAATCAGCCTTGACAACACGACCAGTCAGCTTTGTTTCATTTTAAATGTTGTTGTCCAAATATGACTGCACGCTCCATGTAGGCTTAAAAATAGTTGTTTTGAACCAGCAGCTAACAATACCTTCAGTTCCTTTTTATTTTGCGGTTTTATTCAATGATGAAAACTGAAAATATTCAAAAGTAAAATCCTACTTTTAAAATTCACGGGAACTGTAGTGCTTAGAAATAATTGCTGAGATTTCAGGCTTTAAGTCAAATTGAGCGGTACATATATTTTATCTGTAAATATGTAGTCCTTAAAATTCCCTTTGTCATACAAATATTACAAATACGTAAGTATTTCATCTAGTAAAGCTTCATATTGTACCAAAAGACAAAGAACATCACTGTAATTTTCATCATAGACCAGCAGTCATAACAGTAGACTTTGCTATAGAATTAATTCTTGGTTGAAAATTGCTTGAGTCACAATTTGGATCATTAAAAAAAAGGGTAAAACAATATTTTTTACTCTCGTTTCAGTTGTTGACATTGTGAGCTTACCATCACTAAATTAAAATAAACTCTTAGGACATGACAAATGGCGTATTTAAATGCATACATTTAAAACTAATATCAAATTGGAAGCATTTTACGGTCTGTAAAATGTTTACAAGCTGTTTACAGTCTAAACTCCTCCAAAAGCAGAACATCCTCTATGTCACTGACACAACACTGTGGAGGTGCCATGATATGTGTCTCAGTAAGTTATAAACTGAAACGTCTCAGTTTGAAGTAAATAAATGCAGTTTATGTTGCAGAAAACATGGGCTTAATTCAAACATTTAATCAATGTCTTTGGATAGACTGATATGAAACTAACTTATTTATTGAATCTTGACATCTTCAATCCATTTAGATGTATTTACTTTTTTTTGGTACCAAAAGAATGGATCGGATGATGAATCTGAATCTTTGTTTTCACCTTCAGCCTTTCTTTGACCCAGTTGCATTGTCTCATCATGCAGCATTTTCAAACACCTGATCTCCCACCAGTACTTTGTGTCCCGGTCAGTTAGACAACTATAATTAGAAGCTCCAGTCTGAACAGCAGCGGGGGCTAAAGTACACAACATAAAGTGTGTATGCAGCAGGGTAACATGATGCAGTGAGGAGAAAGCAGGTGATGAAGGTCCATGAAAGTGTTGTTGTATTCACAGCCAGATGCCTGCTGGCACACAAGCTCATTGATACAAACAAATCATCAGGAGCAGATTCTTCTTAAGGTCACACCTTCCGGTTTATCTTTAGGTAAAAGTACTTGAGATGTCCTTCAAAGGTGGTGTTTTAAATCGATACCTCCAAACAAGAAGCACACAGACTTCTCAGTCTCTTTTTGTGTCATCCATCCATCCATTTTCTTTACCCGCTTATTCCATTTTTTGGGTCACGGGGGTCACTGGTGCCCATGTCCAGCAATCACTGTGCGAGGGGCGGGGTACACCCTGGACGGGTCGCAAGTCCATCACAGGGACACACAGAGACAAATGAGACAAACAACCATTCACTCTCTCACTCAACCTAGGGACAATTTAGAGTTACCAATCAGCCTAACATGCATGTTTTTGGACTGTGGGAGGAAACCGGAGTACCTGGAGAAAACCCACACATGCACGGAGAGAACATGCAAACTCCACCCAGAAAGGCCCCTGGACCGGGATTTGAACCAGGGACCTGCTCGCTGAGAGGCAGCAGCTCAACCAGTTGCGCCACTGTGCTGCCCTCTTTTTGTGTCATGTTTCTTCAAATGTTGCATCAAGTTTATGCACCTTTGCTCATATTTGCATGGTCTGATGTTTGTGTGTGTGTGTGTGTGTGTGTGTGTGTGTGCGTGTGCGTGTGTGCATGTGTGTTTTTGGCTTGTGCTTTTTCTATAGCAACTGTCTGCTCATTTGTCTTAGGCACTGTGAAGAAACAAAATGTGCAGCACCTGCAGCTTTTTAAATGATTTTAAAATCCTTGCTTTTCTTGACATCATGCTAGCTTAAATGTCAGCATTTTTCTGTAAATGTGCTTGGAAAGGTCTTTGTATATACAGAGTGAAAATTACGTGCAAAGATGGATGAGGTCATTTTCATCTTAGGTACAAAAAAAATGCTATTATAAAAGTGACAGGCAAAGTTTTTTTTATTCATGGGCCTTTTTGTGGATAAATAAAAAATGTGACTGGCTAATGAGATGTAAAAGGACAGCAATGGGTACCCCATGACTGATGTCCAGATATTCAGGTCAACAGTGTTTTAAAAGCACCGGCTTCGAAAAATGGCCGTTAGTTGTTATCATCCCCATAAGTTGTGTTCAGACTGTCCCTCCTGTAACCTAGTAGGTTTAAAGGTACATTCTTATCGCTTATAATATGTCAAGGGTCAGGGGGTTAGGTTTAGGGTCAGTGCTCTGAGTCAGGTGTAAGGTTAGGTGTATGAAAAGGGTTAAATAAAGATAACAACAACAAAAAAAAAGCTTCCGGTTTTACGCATGGGCGAAGCTGCATATTATCAATGATAAGAACATAACTTTAAACCTACTAGGATGTACAGGAGGGACAGTCTGAACGCAACCTATGGGGATGATAACAGCCAATAACTGATAACGTTCAAAGCCACTGTTTAAAAGTATAAAGAATGTAGTAGTAATATTTACAATAAATTAAATTCACTGAATTATTAGTTTGACAAGATTTTAAATGTAAAAATAATAATTGTTAAAAATCTAAAACAGAAAATAAACTCATGCATGCAGATGTGACTGATAAAGAAAGTGCAAAGAAATCACTGAAACACTCAGAAATATTTAGTCTTCAAGCTAAACTTGCAGATTTGAGATCCTCCTGTATGAATACGCACAAAGTTATGGACGCCATGTTCCACACACAAGCAGGGATTTATGAAAACATGCTGCATGAAATAGTATGTAAAAATGTATCTAACTTTTGACCTGTTGTATGAATGTGCATACCTCTACAACCATATCAAACCATAAAGAATTGAATACACTGAAAAATAACAGAGGCAGCACGGTGGCACAACTGGTAGAGCTGCTGCCTCTCAGCGAGCAGGTCCCTGGTTCAAACCCCGGTCCAGGGGCCTTTCTGGGTGGAGTTTGCATGTTCTCTCCGTGCATGCGTGGGTTTTATCCAGGTGCTCCGGTTTCCATGGGTGTGGTCCTTAATGATGCTGCATGCTTTACGCAGACATCGACTGTGGTAGGTATCCTGGATGGTGTGGAGACTGCTACCAGTGATGTCTTCTGCTGTTTGCACCACCCTTTGTAGTTCTTTCAAGCTCTGACTGGTGCAGTTCATGTACCACCCTGTGATGCAGCCTGTCAGCAGGCTCTCAATGGTGCACCTATAAAAGTTGGTGAGGCTGCTGGTGTTCATACCGAACTTCTTTAGTCTTCTTAGGAAGTAGTCTTTGTCTGGTTTTCTTGACCACAGTGTCTGTAATGTCCAGGACAAATCCTCAGTAATGTGAACACTGAGGAACTTGAAGCTGCTGACCTGCTCCACCTCAGCGTTGTTTATGTAGCTGGTGGAGTGCTGACCTCCACTCTGTTTCCTGAAGTCCACTATCATCTCCATTGTTTTGCTGACATTTAGAGAGAAGTTATTTTCCTGACACTAGCTGGTCAGTGATTTCACCTCATCTCTGTTAGCACTCTTGTCATTGTTGGTGATGAGGCCCAAGATGGTGGTGTCATCAGCATACTCGAGGACGATGGTCTTCTTGCTAATTTCAGCTTGTTATGCTTCTTTCAGCTTATTTCTGCAAGTTTCTTTTTTTTCAGCTTCTGCTAATTTTAGCTTTTTTGG